CCGGGGTGTTGCTCTCCGTCCGAGCCGGCGAGATGGGGCGGGGGGGGGGCGGGGGACACAACTCCTTGGGCCCTGAGCGCTGCTGCCTCCTCGGTGGCCGTGGGGGGCTCCGGGGAGGCCATGGTGGGTCGGTGACACGTCTGTGTCCACGCATCACCCGATGTTTTCTCTCTCCCATTCGTGTGGACGTTGTATGTGTGGATGACCTGCATCGCATAAGCTTGTTTCGTGGTTGTGTTTCTGCTAATTCTGGTAATGCCTCAGCATGTGAAGTGTCCCGCGAGTAAGGCATTTCGTGGGCAGTTTTTGCTGTTGAGAGTACTTGGAGACCCTGGGAAGCATTCAGATACTCGTTGCCTGCCCTCAAGTCTGCCCTCCACAGCGTACAGATGAGCAATTTTTAATGTAGTCACAAAGATGGGCCTGGGTCTAGTTACCTCCAGGACACTTGTGAGCCTTCAGTTTCTCCCCTTTAAGTTTACGCCTCTGAAGCGGGGTCCCCGGGCCGGGGGGCACATGACCTCGGCGCTGCTGCCGCCTCTCAGACTGACTTGCAGACCGGCCGTGCGGCTCTCCCCTCCTCCCAGCCGCCTGGCTTCCCAGCAGCTCTTTGGGGACACCACTTCTCTTGCGGGGTGCTGCCCGGGAGGGCGTGAGGCCCACGCCCAGGGTCTCTGCTGCCCGTGGTCTTGGCGCTCAGGTGGCTCCTGGCTGGCCAGAGCCCAGTTGGTGCGTTTTCCGCCAGCTGCCTACCCAGCTCTGCTTGTCCTCTCTCCGTACATCTGGGTTTTGACCTTGAACTTTCTTTCTTTCTTTTTTTTTTAAGATTTATTTATTTGTGCATACAGAACTGGGGTACAGGCCAGAGATGCGGAGGGTGAGAGGATTCACCAGGGACAGAGTGGGGAGCAGAACAGGCAGATCGAGGAAGTACACTGCTGAGGGGAGCAGCGGGCGGGTCCGGAGAGGTCTGGCTCGCCATGTGGTCTCCTCCGGGGCAGGCGGCCCCTGTGGATCGAACTCATGCGGAAGTGGCTTCAGCTTCTTCGTGCTGTGCTTTAACCCGCTGCGCCCCAGGGAGGGCCGACCTTGAACTTTCAACCCAGGAGAGGGTACTGAGTCAGTCTGGGTGATTTTGGGGGGGAACACAAGTCCATTTGCTCCCGTCCCCAGCAGAGCCAGCCCTGGCTGAGGCCTGTGCTGGCCTGCCCGGGGCCTCTCCCGGGGCGCCCTCCCCCGGGGGGCCGGCCGGCCATCGGCTCGAAACCCTGAAAGACACAGCCAGCCAGGAAAGGGTCAAAGCCCATGAATCTCAGGGCTGTGCCGCAGTGCGTCCCCTGAAGCTTGAAATTAGGGAGTGAAGGAAGCTCTTTCCCACAGCAGGCAGGAAACCCATGAAGTGTGTTCTCCCCACGGGCTGAGGGAGGATAAAAATAGGGAGAGGGCCGCGGAGGGACTCGCTGAACTCATGAGCAGCAAGGCGACGCCAGGACCGAGGACTCTCCGCCGTCAGGAATGCATGCGCCCCGCCGTGACCCCGCGGGCGCCTGGCCGCAGTCAGCCCCACACGCCTGGCACCGTGCACGTTCTCTGGAGCCGGGCTGGCCGTGGTGGGCGACAGCTGGGCCCTTCTCGCAGACCGTAAAGTAACGACGCGCTCCCCTCCCACCGACGCCACCGGCGGCTCCACGTCCCCCCGCTGGCCTGGGCTCCAGCTGCCTCGTACACTGTCCTCGCTGGACGTCACAGCACGTGACATTGCAGCTCCCGCAGGCCGAGAGGCCGCAGCAGCCGCGATGGCGTTTCTCTCGAAACACCGTGGCCTTTTGGAACCCCTCCATTCCCGAGGGGTGATGTTCCCCGGCACCCTGGCCGGCAGCCCGTCCTGCAGCCTCGTGACACGGGCACCAGCCTGCCAGTGTGTGCCGGGCGCCGTCCCCGACGGTGTCTGTGTTAGCTCATCCGCCCTCGCGGCGCCCTCCGGCCAGCGCGGCCTCCTCTTCCGTCTGGGACAGGGCCCCTGCCCGGCCTCGGGCTAACAGGCCACCCAGCAATGCCGGGAGGCCACTGTGCTGACCTGCTCTCCCACCCCGCTGGCCAGCTGCTGTCCTCCCCGGGGGGGTTGGCTCGTCCCGGCCCCTTCCTGCCCTCTAACCGGTCACTCCCATCGCCGCTGCCCTCCTGCCCTCCCCTGGCACCAGGCAGGCCACGCTGCCCCTCCCACCCCACCCCCGCTCCGCTGCCTCACCGCCATCTCCTAACGCTAACACATTTCTTATTTCACTGGGACTAGCTCACGCGTCAGACGGCCCCGTTTAGGGGTGTCATCCACGCACGGCGCAGACCACCTGCTCAAAGGGGGGCTAGCGGGCGTCCGGCGTCCTGAGCAGCAGCCCTGCGGGCACCTTCATCACCCCCGCAGCTCGGGCCTGGCCACCTGGAGTTGCCTCACCCTGGGGGCCACACAGAATACGCATCACGTTTTCGGGGTTCACCCAGACAGCAGGGGGCTCAGCGCCCCATCTGTTTCCATTGCAGAGTGCCGCCCATGGCACGGTGGGCTGGCCTGTCCCCCGGCAGTGGGCGGGCGCCGGCGGTCCCCACCGTGGCTGCGTGACGTGCCCGGTGGCCGTGCGTCCTCCTTGCCCCTGGCTGGAAGCCCGGGTCTCGCGGCGGCTGCTCCATCCGGTCCAGGCCTCGCCCGTCTGATTTCTGTTGTTCCAATCCCCACCTGGCTGCTCCTGCCCGGCCGGGCCGCTGCCCCTGCTCCCCCAGGAGGACGCGGCCAGGGCCACCCACACAGGCTGTGTTTGACACACACGGCACTTCAGTATTTTTTTAAAGGTTTATTTATGCGCACAGAATTGCCGTACAGGCCGGAGGCGCGGGAGGGGAGAGGACGCCCAGAGACAGAGTGGGGAGCGGAGCAGGTGGGGCCCCTGACCCTTGCCCCAGACACCCCTGCAGGCTCAGCTCAGCCGGCTCCTTCCGCCTCGGCTCCAGCTCTGAAGCCACTGTGTTCACACCTCAGAGTCCCGAGTGTGACCCTGCGCTGGGGCCGTCCAGCTTCAGCGGGAGGAAGTTGAAGGAGGTGGTGTTGGCCGGAAGATCCGCCGGCGTGGGGCCGCCGGCCTGGGCTCCAGCCTCACCCACCCTCCCGCTGTGGGCCCTTGGCCAAGTCAGCTGACTTCTCCGCAGCTTCCGGGCCTTAACCCCGGGCCTCCTCGCACGGCTCCGGGAGCAAAGGGCTGGCGGCTGGACGCGGCCATCTCTGCTGCCGCAGCACGGGGACCGGCCCTGGGTCGGGGTCTCGGCCACTGTTTCCCCCACGGGCGGGGCGCTTGGGCAGCCAGGCTGGCCCGTGGGGGGTCCTGCCCCCACACTTGTCTCCAGCAGGAGGGCACCGTCCCACCCCCAGCGGCTTTGCTTCCTGCCACAGCGCGGTGCTGCCGGCCGGGGTGCGGGTGCATCCTGGGCTCAGGGGGGCCTCTGGGCCCGTGGCCCCCCCGGGCCTGCTGTTGGGCCTGCT